TTTTACTAACTTTTGAACCCCTTGTCTGATTTGTGCCAGCTATTTTTGAATATGTTGTTCCCCTGAATGGATTGATTGTGCATATGTAATTTTATGTGAATGTGATGTATGGTTTTAGAGTTATGAAAGTTGGGTAGAAAGTATGTTTTAACTGTATGTATAATTGAGTTTCCTCTCAGGATAAGGGGAGGGAATATGTGGGATGTAACTGTGATATGATTGGTTGTTTTATCCTCCCTGTGGGTGGTCCTGTATTTGAAACACTGTATTAAAACCAGGCTGGGTGTGCCAGCACCTCAGACCACTGCTTGACCTCAACACGGAGCCTTGTCTCGCTCTTGGGATTCACTGTATGCTGTTAGAGACTGATTGCCAGGAGTGTAAGCCGCTTGGGAGCTTTTCCTGTTCGTCTGCCAGCAGCTATTTGGGAGGTTCCAGTTCGGGAGTTGGAGTGCTATTTTGTATCCAGTTCGTGAGTTTTGGTGTTCTGCAGTAGCTGTGCCTGGATCTCTGGAAAGGGGGCCGATCGCCTAAACGGTTTTTACCCCTTGTGTGCAAAGTGGTCCGTTACAATTGGTGGCAAGCGGCGGGATCGTTCCTACAACCAGAAGGACAGCTACAGGAGACACCATTCCGTGGATTTTACAATTTGAGGGCAACGCATGTCTCAGTACAGCGACCCTGACAGCAACAGAATGGAACCGGCAGTGGAGTACAGATACTCTGTACAGGAATTTGACCGCATGATGTGGTTGCGGCTGAACTTCTACGGGCCTAATCCAGCTGAGAAATCCGTGAAGTTCGTGAGGAGTCTAGTATTCAAGACTCTGCTGTACCAGGCAGAGGGTGACGGTCAGCTGCCACGGTGGGTGGACCTCCACCGGCAGCTACAGTTGCGGGACAGAGAGAGCCCAGTCTCCTCTCCCCAGCGGCAGTGTGATATGCAGGGAATTGGGAGCCCAGTCTCCATTCCCCAGCGGCAGTGTGATATGCAGGGACTTGGGAGCCCAGTCTCCATTCCCCAGCGGCAGTGTGATATGCCGGGAATTGGGAGCCCAGTCTTCATTCCCCAGCGGCAGTGTAAAGTGCAGGGAGAGAAGATCAGCGTCCTCACTCCCCAGCGGCAGGCTGAGTTACAGGGGGCAGAGGTAGTTGTTCCTGCCCCCCAGCAGCAGAGTGATATGCCGGGAAGGCAGTGTAAAGTGCAGGGAGAGGAGAGCAGTGTCCTCCCTCCCCAGCGGCAGGCTGAGCTACAGGGGGCAGAGGTAGTTGTTCCTGCCCCCCAGCAGCAGCATGATTTTTGGGGAATTGGGAGCCCAGTCTCCATTCCCCAACGGCCGAGTGATGTGCCGGGAATTGGGAGCCCAGTCTCCATTCCCCAGCGGGAGATACAGCAGGGAATTGGGAGCCCAGTCTCCATTCCCCAGCGGCAGAGTGTCCTACCGGGAACAGAGAGCCCAGTCTCCTTTCCCCAGCAGCAGGACACTGTATTGGGAGCAGAGACAGTCGGTCTCCCTCCACAGAGGATGAAAGTATGTATGGGAGAGGAGCTTGCTACCACCTCTCCCCAGCGGCGGATCATTAATGGGCAGGGAATAGAGAGCTCCGTCTCCTTTCCCCAGCGGCAGAGTGTTCTATCGGGAGAGGAGCCTGTTACCCCCTCTCCCCAGCGACATCTTAGAGTATCCAAAGGGGAGACAGTCGGTCTCCCCATCCAGCAGCAGAGCTGTGCAACAAAAGGGGAGACAGTCAGTCTCCAGCAGCAGCAGCAGAGCGGTGTATTTAAAGGGGAGACAGTCGGTCTCCCCCTCCAACAACCAGGCTTCCACCAGGCTACCCTCCCAGTAGCGTTGGCAACAGGGCAGAGTGCCGCTGGTCTCTGCCCACGCAGCAACCCACCAAGTCAGCGTACCCGTACCCAGCACAGCCGTGGTGAGGCACCTGGACATGGACAAGCTTCCCTTTTACCCAGGTGTAGTAACCATTTATTGTGGGTGGGCTGTGCTGTTGATTATTTGTTGTGGGTGGGCTGCTGGACTAACAAGGGCACTGACCGGCAGGAGGTCAGATACCCTGTTAGTTTGTTTGGAAAAGGGGAGAGATGTGACGAGACCAATCTCGCCACATTGCATTGGAGAAGCCTGGTTGCTCGCCTGCTGCCTTTGGACTATGGCCCCTTTTTAAAAGACATCTTTTTTTACCTGCAGAAAAGCTTCATTCGTGCTTTTCTGCCTGGGGTTCGGTAGATTTGTTTGAATGTGTTATACCCCAGATAGGAATCCCATGGAGCCCATTCGTATGAAACTGACTGCAAAGACTTTGGCTCCATGGCGATTAAACTGTATTCGTGTGGTCTGAGCGCCATTCACTTAATAATGTGCACTCAGACCTGAGCTATCTGGGGATATGTGAAATGTCTGTGTGTTATGTGTAAAATGTGACTTTATGTATTTTAAAGTGTTTTGTGTCTTTTGCAACCATGTGCTTAATGGAGTCTTGTGTCTGTCCTGGGAGATAATTCAATTACTTATCTCCAGGATAGAAGACTCTGAATCTGGTTTGGGCCAGAAAGCCATGCTTCATTTAGTCACAAAGGACTTTTTACTAACTGTTGAACCCCTTGTCTGATTTGTGCCATTTTTGAATATGTTGTTCCCCTGAATGGATTGATTGAGAATATGTAATTTTATGTGAATGTGATGTATGGTTTTGGAGTTATGAAAGTTGGGCAGAAAGTATGTTTTAACTGTTTGTATAATTGAGTTTCCTCTCAGGATAAGGGGAGGGAATATGTGGGATGTAACTGTGATATGATTGGTTGTTTTATCCCTCCCTGTGGGTGGTCCTGTATTTGAAACACTGTAATAAAAACCAGGCTGGGTGTGCCAGCACCTCAGACCACTGCTTGACCCTCAACACGGAGCCTTGTCTCGCTCTTGGGGGGATTCACTGTATGCTGTTAGAGACTGATTGCCAGGAGTGTAAGCTGATTGTCTGCTTTTCCTGTTCGTCTGCTAGCAGCTATTTGGGAGGTTCCAGTTCGGGAGTTGGAGTGCTATTTTGTATCCAGTTCGTGAGTTTTGGTGTTCTGCAGTAGCTGTGCCTGGATCTCTGGAAAGGGGGCCGATCGCCTAAACGGTTTTTACCCCTTGTGTGCAAAACGGTCCGTTACAACATCGATTGGAATAATGTTGATGTATGTTATATATATATGTTTATTTATATGGGGGTCATTGCCCTTTATATGTTAATGGAAGGAATAGGATGCGAGGGCGGAGTATGGGGGGCAATGACCCATGTTTACTTGTTAAGTTATTATTATTGTTATTATTATTGTTTGCTAAATAAAGCTGTGGACATATTTCCCCATATCCTCTAGTATGTGCGTTATTGGGTGGGGTTATGGGGTGGTTGTCCTGGATTCCGACTGCCCAAAATGGCGACTATACACCTGTCATGTAGCCCCATGTAGCCAAGCGCAGCTAAGCGGAAAAAGGCCTTGACAGGGCTTAGGAGGCGGGCCTAGGAGGAAGTAAGCAAGGGAGTGGAGTTATGGGTAAGTGGGTTTGGTTATTTAAATGGGCAGCCATTTTAGTTAATTCATTTTAACTTCCTACCTGGTTAAGTTTGTCCCACCCACCCTCCCTGTTTTGTTATGTGTGGTTTTGTCCTGTTTTTTCACAGCGGCGGGACGGGGAGCTGAAGGAGAGGAAATAGGCTCCCCAGGATGAACGTAATGGAAGACAAACAAGTGGTGGTCATTGGTGGTTGATAGGTTTCGAGTCCTGTCGGTGGCTCAGAACCTGGTGGGGTAGGGGTATCCGTGCCGTGGTTAATGGATGGTTGGCACTTTACATCGATTGGAATAATGTTGATGTATGTTATATATATATGTTTATTTATATGGGGGTCATTGCCCTTTATATGTTAATGGAAGGAATAGGATGCGAGGGCGGAGTATGGGGGGCAATGACCTATGTTTACTTGTTAAGTTATTATTATGATTATTATTGTTATTATTATTGTTTGCTAAATAAAGCTGTGGACATATTTCCCCATATCCTCTAGTATGTGCGTTATTGGGTTGGGTTATGGGGTGGTTGTCCTGGATTCCGACTGCCCAAAATGGCGACTATACACCTGTCAAGTGTCTTGAACAGTCTTCCAACTTCCTCTTTCTTGCTGCTCCTCAGATCAGATAAGTGGCTTTTTTCTGTACTCTTCACTTTTAACTACAAACATATTTTTGTTTATATCACTTTAAATGTTTGGTTTTACCTCGTGATTGTTTATATGTTGCCCCTGTTACAGGGGTCAGTATTGCAGTGTTTTCCTACACTGCTGCGTTCTGCTCAGACATTTTCCCTCTCTCCCTAGCTCTTCACTCCACACAGGGCTGAGAGGGGTCTGACAGGTTGTGAGACCGCACCGCCCTCGCGTCTGCGGTCTCACTAGTGCCCTCCCTCCTCTGTATTTGCCGGCACCCGCTTAGAAAACCCAGCGGGTGCCGAGCAACTCCACTTTGCTCTGTTTCTCCGCCAGGCTTGCTTCCGCCTGGCGGTCTGGGGCCGCGAGGATTTCTCTACTCGCGGCCATTACTGGGGGGGCGGAGCAATTCGCCTTCGGCGCGCTTCTCTTCTCTGAAGCGCGGGAAGGCTGAACGGCTCCTAGTATGCTCCTGCTGTCCTCCGTGGGCAAGGTTGTATTGTTCCATTTTCCCCTATATTGCTAATAAGGGTTAATCAACCCTTCTATCTACTCTAACTGTAGCCTTGAATGCTTTGGTTTTTTTTTTTCCATCCCCCCTTTACAGTTTTCTGTACTGCATTACTTAACTGGCTGTGTGCTGGGAGTCTTATTTGTGTTGATTTAAAGGCACCTCTCATAAAAAAAAAAAAAAAAGCTCTTGTTGAGAACATTACTAAGGGTTAATCACCTGTGTTACTTATACTGGTGTGAGAACCCAGCTCTCTGATTCTCCCTGCCTAGCACACCTGTTTAGTTGTTCCTAATTGTGGGCATTCTGTTATAAGTTACTTAAACAATAAAATGCAAAATCACGGAGATGGACATGGGGGCCCTGGCTGCCCTAATATTGAGAATACCTTAACCACCCCTAGCCTAGACCCGGGTATTTTACCCTCTCAGGAATTCCAGTCTCTCCTGGAATCCACTATGGCCGGCTCAGTCCAGCGAGCCATAGCTTCGGCCATGGGGTTTGTGTCCACCTCCCTATCCCACTCCCTGGCTCAGGCACTTATGTTACCCCCAGAGGTGCAACCAGCTATATCGGCCCAAACTGATATGACAGTCCCTGCGGCCCGCAAGGCAAAAGCCAAAACTAAGCATACATCAACACTCCCACTGATGCAGGTATCCCCTGCCCTGACTGACCCGCCTATGGCGGTCCCAGATGGCGTGTTGCCACGCACAAGAGCCACTGGCCGGGCGCAAGCGGCCAGAAATTGGAAACGGGCACGTGCCCAATACGAAGAGTCAGATTCTGACCATAGTGAGGAGATGGGGTCAGAAGACCCGGATTATATTTACAATGATATGGCTTCTGACTCGGATGAGGAGTCTAGTCCTCTGGTGGAACCGACGGGAGTGGAGGATGGTGTTCGGGACCCTCAGGGGTATCCCCTGTTCGACCCGGACAACCTCCGCCACCCTCGCTCGGCAGAGTGGGACCCGCCAACGCACATTGCGTAGTATTTGGCGCTCCGTCTGCGTACTCTTCTCTCTAACGAGAGTAGGAATAAACTCCGAGCAGAGTGTCCCAGACCCTCCGTACCAGACATGGCCTGCAAAACCCCCGTGGTGGACCCCCATATCGCCCAATTCCTCTCAAAATCTGTCTGGAAGCCCAAGAAGGGGCTGGAGTTCTCACTCCACAGCTGCCAGGACAAAATACTAGACACCCTGGGGCCAACCACGAAATTATACGAATTACTCGAATCCGCTAAAGCGGGAGAGTCCACCATTGACTTCGATGAAGCCATTGGCTGGGTCCAGAGACTTATCTGCTTGTTGGGTAATGCCAACACAGCCAATCTCGGCAGAATGCCGTAAATCAATTTTACTTAAGATTGAACCTAAGTTGATTAATTTGGCAAATAGAGAACCTGGACCCACAGCTCAAGGGATGTTATTTGGCGAGTCCTTTGTCAAAGACATCGGGGCTTTTGTCAAAACCTTTACCACTTTAGACAAGGCTCAGGCCAACCTTAAGAGAGTGTTTAACCCCAAGGTTTTACACGGAGCCGGGAGATCTAGGAGCCGTCCACCCGGCCGAGTCTATCGGGGTCCCTCCAGGATCCATAGGGGCTCTTTCGGGGCACCCCGCACATACCAGGAGTTCCGTCCGTCGCCCTTCTTCCCGTCCAGGGGACGCCCATGGACTACTCGGGGAAACCGTAGACAATCTACTTACATACGACCTTACGGTAAGTACAATAACTCTCCCTCCTTCACACCTACACATAGGGGGCAGGCTAGCAAGGATTGCACACGCATGGGACGAGCTCACCAAAGACGCTTGGGTTTTACAGACTGTCAGAGGTTTCTACCGCGACCTTATATCTACCCCATTTCAAACACATGTCCCAAGAGAGCTGACATTACCCCCAGACCAAACCAAACTCATAACCAATGAGATTACAGACCTCCACACCAAACAGGCAATCCAAGAGATCCCATACGATACACCGGGTTTTACCAGCAACCTATTTTTAGTAGCCAAAAAAGGCGGAGGTATGCGGCCAGTCATAAACTTAAAGGAACTCAACGCGTTCCTCGCATACCAACAATGGAAGGCATTCATTGTCTCAGGGATTTATTACAACAGGGAGATTGGATGGTAAAATTGGACCTCACCGTCCCTATTGCAGAGGCACACTGGGACCTCTTGCATTTTACATGGCAAGGACGACGTTGGAGATTTACATGTCTGCCCTTCGGTTTGTCGTCAGCGCCCTGGTGCTTCACGAAACTCATGAAGCCAGTGGTAGCTTTTCTCAGAGCACGAGGAGTTCGTATGATCATATATCTAGACGATATTTTAATCATGGCATCCTCACAAGACCAAGTACTGCACCACCTACAGTGGACCATCACGTTACTCGAGACTCTGGGTTTTTTGATAAATTGGGAGAAATCCATAACCAATCCAGTCCAAAAGATAGAGTTCCTGGGATTCCAGATCGACGCAATCTCACAATTCTTACTCCTCCCGGAAACGAAATTGAAGGCCATCAAAAAAGAGATCAGACGCACGTTACGAGCTCAATTCCTCTCTATTCGACAACTAGCCCGAGTATTAGGACTACTGGCTTCCTCAATACAAGCCATCTTCCCAGGGCCCCTACACTACCGTGCCCTACAATGGCTAAAAGGCTCTCACCTCAGGTCCGGCCATTCCTACGAATCCGCACTAGTCCTGGATGTAGAATCACGGGAAGAGCTGGGTTGGTGGCTAGACCATATGGAGGCGTGGAACGGCCGAGCAATATTCGGAACCAGCCCGGACCTGATTATAGAATCGGATGCAAGCCTCCATGGCTGGGGCGCGCGTTGTGGCAACATATCCACCGGTAGCAGATGGTCCATGGAGGAATCCACACTGCACATAAATTGCCTGGAACTTCTGGCAGGATCGTTCGCCATCCGCAGTCTCTCCCCTACGGTAGGGAGATGTTGTATACTGCTCCGTATGGACAACATCTCGGCAGTCCGTTATATCAATCATCTAGGAGGCACCAAATCCAAACGACTAGCAAACCTAGCGAAGGAATTTTGGCAGTTTTGCCTTCAGAACGAGATTGCGGTGACAGCCGAACACATTCCGGGCTTGGACAATGTACAAGCAGACTGGAATTCCAGATATCTGCGAGATCCGGGAGACTGGCGTCTTCTCCGCTCTACCTTTTGCCAGGTAGACGAGTTGTGGAGACCACTAGACGTAGACCTCTTTGCATCCAGACTGAACAGTCACCTGCCTCGATACTTCAGCTGGCGACCAGATCCAACAGCCTCGGGGACGGATGCTTTCCTACAGACATGGCCGAAGTCTCTGCATTACGCATTTCCCCCTTTCAATCTCATATCCAGGACACTATCATACCTATGCACACAGGACTGTTCACTAGTGATAGTGGTTCCACTATGGCACGCTCAGCCGTGGTTTCCTCGACTACTAGAAATGGCAATCGACTCTCCACGAATAATACCATCAAGACCAGACTTGCTATTGGACCCGGAGGGGAATCCGCACAACCTAATCAATCAGGGCCTGCTGCAACTCACAGTCTGGTTGATTTCCGGAGTCCCTGGACATTCACAGACATTCCACAGACGGTTACAAGACTCATGGACAACTCCTGGGCTCCAGGGACCAGAGCGGCCTATAACTCTGCATGGCGAGTGTGGGCTAGCTGGTGCATGGAACGGTCAGTGGATCCGGTTTCAGCATCTCTGAAAGAAGTACTAGAGTTTTTGACGTCCCTTTTCGAAGAAGGAAAAGCGTACCGTACCATTAACGTGTACAGGTCGGGCATCTCGGCAGGACACCGAGACCTGGAGGGCTCCCCGATTGGACAGCACCCCTTCGTTTGTAGACTCCTAAAGGGGATACACAAACCCGCTATTCTTCATTCTGGGATGTCAACATTGTCTTACACTTCCTGGAAGAATGGATACCAAATGAGGAACTCTCCCTTAAACACCTGTCTTGGAAACTGCTGACTCTGTTATGCCTACTGTCCTGCAAGAGGATATCGGACGTGCGAGCCTTGGACTGGGACGCATTGTCATTCACCCCAGAGGGCGTATCATTCTCCATATCGAGACGAACTAAAGGCAATACAAAATCTATCTCTTACCCGAGATACCCAGGACATCCTTCACTATGCCCGGTCAGATGCCTTCGGTCCTACCTGGATCGTACTCAGAAATTACGCACACCTGAATCAAGTCAATTATTTATATCTTTTCGAACCCCTTTTCTACCAGTGTCCACGCCCACGTTAGCTCGTTGGGTCAAGAACCTGTTAGCACTAACAGGAATTGACACCTCGAAATTCTCTGCACACTCGGTGAGAGGCGCGATGGCATCCAAGGCATCAACGATTGGCTGTTGCCTCGAGGACATAGTAAAGGCGGCTGATTGGTCGCAAGTATCGACGTTCAGAGAATTCTATTTTCGGCCAATTGAACATATCTCTCTTCAAGTAGTGGCCAAGCTTTGAACTAGCATAATATGAGCCTCCGTGTCATTAATAAAATTCCAAGATTTTACTAGTAACATGACGTAAAGTCATGATTTTATTAATGACACGGAGGCGAGTATTATCCCCACCCACCCGGTGGGCGTGGTACAGTCTATAAGGAGAGTCTTATGACTCTCGCAAAGGTAAGTAACAAGGAATTTTCAAGAGCATGTACACCATCCTTTTTATGTACACATATAACTTGTTATACCATTTTGTTATATCAAATATAAGAAACATAAGGAATAAGGATAACATACAGTTCCAAAGTTTGGATTTTACCGTATATTCTCTTTGTTTCCACAGCGTAACGTACTGAACACTGTCTAGGTGGAACATCGGAAGTTATGGGAAGTTACGGGACTTATTCCGTTCAAATTACGACGGCTCTTCGTCGAGAAAGACAAGAAAGAGGAAGTTGGAAGACTGTTCAAGACACTTAATGTTGATAAGTGTATATGATTGGCTGCCCTGTTACTAGGCAGATTACTTATGTTATTTCGTTTTTATTCTCTTTCAAGTTAAATTCTTGCTGCTGAGGAGAATAATAAAAGAAAGAGAAAGCATAATACTCGCCTCCGTGTCATTAATAAAATCATGACTTTACGTCATGTTACTAGTAAAATCTTGGAATTATAGTGAGGTAAAGGGTGGGGTACAGATATGGTATTCTGAGAAGTGTGTACATCGTGGAGTTAAGTGTTTACAGGCTTTGTATGATTAAGTGTAAGGTCTTCTTAGTTGGTTACAAGCTTGGGTTACCACGGGCACCTGCTCTTTATGTGTGAGACTGTGCGGGCAGTCGACGTTTGCTCACCGTACGAGGTCTGTATGCATGTCTGTCAGGGCTAGTGTGTGCTATTGCCCGGTCGGTGTTGTAGTATCACTGTTTGTGTGTTTTCACTCATCGGTAGTTGTCGGTTAGGCTGTAGTGTGTGTGTGATCATGTTTGCTGGCTGGAGTGGCTGTGTTTGCGGGTGGCTAGGCCAGCAGTTCGTAGTAAGTGTTAAGTCCAGAGTTAGCCAATGTCCTGGCTGGGTGGTAGGCTTGGGGGTATCGGGAGATCTGGAGTCACTCCAAGCGGGTTCACCCACTGGTCTCGGAGACCTGCATCTGTGGACTCGGGTATTCCCATGGAAGGCCACGTTCTTCCCTAGTCGGGGGCTGCTGTGGATCCTGATGGAGGGTCGCTGTCTGTGGAGCCGGATCCTCTGAGCAGGTGGGTGATGCTCAGGGCGTAATCCCCTGGAGGTCTGTCGCCCGGGTGGGCCTGTCCGGTGAGGTTGCAGGTTGGTGCAGTATATTATGCTGGTTTGCCTCCCGCCTCTGCTCATGCTGTGTCTGCACACGCGGCTGTGGGATGGCCGCCATCTTGTGTCAGGCTGTCTGACCTTTTCTCTGTGGCATTGTTGATGTTTGGGCCTGATGGTGCTAATTCGTGGTTGCCCGTGAGGACCGGGATAACCCCCGCCGGTGCAAAGGGGGGAGACAGGGACATCCAGACACCAGTCAGAGAACTGGGAGAGCGGCCGTCTCTCTCCAGCTCAAGCTCGCTAGGCCTCGGGCTTCAGTCGGGTTGCTCCTATGTCATGCTGGGTCAGCAGCGGTATCGCTGTGTTCGTCCAGTGCTCGTGCATGTTATGGGCACCTTTTTGGGTCGGTGGCTGAAATTGGCGCGGAGCTGGCTCCGGTAATTTAGCTCTGGCGCTGGAGCTCAGACGAGACACGTCTGATCCGTTCAGCGGTTAGGCCCCGCCCCCAGCATAATAACTTTTTTGAAGATAATAACCCTAATGATACATCTTCAACTAATAATAGGTGCACCGTTAAATCAGCGATAAAGGGTCTTTTTATTAAAAGCAAGGCTTATTTAAATAAACAACGAGGCTTACCCTTGGCCGAATTATATATTCAGTTTTATCAACTTTCAAAAGAGAATAAATATGATCCCTCGCATGACAAATTATTGAAATTAATTTGTGTACAAGAAAAAAAATCAATGCTAAGGTGAGAGAAAAAATTGCGTATAATATGTTCAAATTAAAGGTAAATCACTCTAACAGTGGTAATAGAGCAAGTAGGTCAGTGACTAATAGATTAAGAAAACATAAGGCTAATAATAGAATTACTAAAGTAACAGTGGGTAATAGATCTGTATACAAACCAGCTTCGATTGCTCAAGTATTTAAAAAGTTTTATAATGATTTATATAATCTACGGAATTAGTGGTAAGCCTAAAATAGAAAGTTATCTTTAAAATGTTGTTACCAAAGCTTTTAGAATCCCAGAAATTTGCTTTAAACATGCAAATTAAGGGGGGCGGGGCTTAGCCGCCATAGTGAACAGATGCTGAGCTCTATGAGCTGAGCTCTCTTTACAAACTTGGACAAACGCTTAAAATACTAGCACACAATTAACTAAATGGAGGTATATCTCCCTCAGAGGTTGCAGAAAGACTACCAGACACCAAACGGTGCATTCATGTGCCTTAAAGAGACGGAATCTCAGCTTGAAGCAATCGTAGCCTAGCGGAATCTGAGTGGCGGCCAACCTCCCTGCCGAGATCACAGCAGACTCTGTGGTGGACGGAGCTCCATTCCCCCCCCACCCCCTCTGGACCGGTGGGGGATATCCCGGTCCCAACTGAGCTTTCCGGGATATAAGCACACTACCTTGGCACCATCCTTAAGACCCATTGCAGCAACCCACTACGCCCAAGATGGTGACAGCCTCTCCCCTGGACGCACAGGCCCGGGGCTCAGAGCAACAACCAGTAAGCAGCTATGTTAAGCAGGGCCAACAGCGTTTGGACGAAATCTTCAATGCCTTCTGGGCAAAACTACAGTCTCGAATGCAGACGGCACCACAGATACCTACTATTGCCAAAAAGAGCACTGTGGTGGGGAAGAGGGTATCTCCCCTGGGCAAGCCATCAACCACTCACAAACAAGCAACCAACAGCCATCCTGGGCTGAGAGCCCCCCAGGTAACAGCCCGCCAGCGTCAATCACGGAGCCTGAAGACCCTCCACCAACGCAAACAAGCGCCTTCTGGACCTTCAACCCACCCTGGTGGGGGTAAAGATCTGACACGACAGCGCCTCAGAGACAGAGGACACAAAGCCCATAAAGGTTACCGGGCCCGTGGACCAAAGATGTCGGCCTCTCTGCTGGTCTGGGACTGGAAGGGGATCCTGCCTCGCTCCCAATGAGCCGCCACGCATGAATGCTGTCCTGCTACACGGATCCCAGGAGCTGGCAAGGGCCAAGAGCAGAAGTGTACTCCCCACAGGGGTTGCTGCGGGACCCAGCCTGACCCTTCAGCCAGAAGCAAGCCTCCAGGGCTGGCGTCAGTTGAACGCAGAGTTCTGAGTAGGAGAAGAGCCCTAGTACTGACCACCTAAAGGCTACACCAGACTTTTCTGAAAAGCACCTTGGTTTATGATTTTACTACCTGTGAGAACGCTGTCCTATTTTCTTGTTTCACCTGTTAGAGTATTACTCAATCTCAGATGCACCCACATTACCTTACTCTAAAGCACACTCCTATCTACATTCAAAGTCAGTTAGCCTGCATACCATTTCCCTAAGCTCAGACTTGTCTCACCTTTTTATCCCATACACATAGACAGGCTAGTTAAACTTGTTATCTCTTGTCTGGCAATACCACAATGAAGCAGAACTAGATAGCTGATAACCTCCTGTATCAAAATATTTCACTCAAATTACAAAGTTAATGAGAAGTTGATGTAGCAACAGATACCCAGTCAATATTACTCTCTGATGGCTAATCACCAAGCTCTATGCCCCATTTACGTAAGCTCTTGCTACTATTGAGTAATCTCAGATAAGCCAAAATACATTTTCTATCTATTCCTAGCAGGTCAGTAATATATATATAAGCATAACAGACCACACAAGCATCTAGGACATACTTTATCATCATGTATCACTGAACTTTTGGTCCAAATAACATAAAGTATGTACCATTCCTATTTCCTATTTACCGACAAATTAAGCTTGAGTAAAAAAAAATAAAAAATAATAAATGCACAGTTCTAACACATGACATGCTATTGTTTTACCGTTATTTCTTTCATGACATTAACCACTATTACAAATGTGTTCACGTATCCATACAAAAAAAGTGCCAATGTTCTTGATACCATACCAATGTTTTCGTACATCTGTTTTTGAATCGCTTGCTAGTACTATCGTGGTATTGTAAGCTTGTTTGTTATCACATGCATTACAAAAATAAAGAATATATAAAAAAAACATGCAAATGACACGTGAAGAACTTCTAAGGGCAATAGACACGCTGAAGAAACAAAAGGTCCTGATGGAATTGGTAATCTGTTTTTTTAAAAATGTGGTTTTCATTTTGCTTCCCACCTGGTCGTGATGTATAATGATGTAGTAACCATGTGAGCTTACCCGGAGGAACTTTTAAGAGCTAATATAATCTCTATATTGAAACACGGCAAATGTTTTACAAAAATCAAAAATTATAGACCTGTTTTGCTCTTGAATACCGAAGTTAAGATTTTTTTTATCTATTCTGGCTGACAGAATTAAAAAAAGGTGGTAGAGTAAATGGTACATTATAACCAGGTAGAATTCATACCAAACAGAACAGTCAGCGCTTATTTGAGAAGAATCTTGACTATTTTGGATCTGGCCAACAGACAGGTTTCACATGCTGACCCAGTTGGTGAATGCAGAAAAGGCTTTCGACAGGGTGGACTGGGATTATCTAAGGTCGTCTTTGCTTAAATTCAGATGGTTGGATTAATAGGGCAACAATGTCCTTGTATATGGTTCCTAGTGCAAGAGTAGCTGGACAAAATTTATGTTCTGACTGGTTCCTGTTATTAAATGGAACCAGACAGGGCTGTCTGCGCTCTCCCTTACTGGATATAAACTCACTGGAACTCTTTGCGGCCAGGATTAGGGAAAATGAAAATATTAAAGGAGTCCCTATCCGCTAAAAGAATGAAAACTTACTTTATATGCAGACAATATTGACAAACATTCAAGATTGCATTAAAATAAATTACTTGGAACTTTTAAAATGTACTAACCATGCTTTAAAACAATGTAAAACATTGGACGTGTAATGGAAGGATAGAGCAAACTTTCTAAATTCTTATTTGATGCCTAAATGGCTGTGTATGTTCCAGATGCTTTCTTTTAGAATTCCTTAAAACTGCCTCCAATGTACTTTTAATATGTATATCTGGAGGGGTAAACAACCCAGATTGAAGATTCTGACTCTATTTTAAAAAAAAATTATAAAAAAAATATACATAAATATAAATATATATAAAACAGGCCTAAACTTTCCAAATATCAAATTTAGTTACTACACTAGTATAACAGCACATCTAAATAATCTCCAGCTGGGTTTAAAACATAGAGTTGGTTTGAAATAGAGACACTTGGAATGAGCAATAAAGCTATAGTGCAAATGATTTGGAACTGTCATCGTAAACCTTTACCAAATATTGAAAGTTATATTTTTTACAAATGTATGGGTTTATTGGAGCATATTTAAAAAATCTTAGGCTTCAAATAAAATTTTTCATTTTTTTTAAAGGTGGAGGTTTTGGAATCTAATTGACCACATAGATAAACTATGGAAGGATTCAAATATTAAACCATTCCATAGTTTAATTGATGAATTTAAGTTACCTCCATCAGAATTGTTTAAAGGAACACTAATGGGTCAGGATCACAAACATGTATTCCTGACCCTATAGTTTTTAATCCACCATTTATGTGGCTTGCCCCGCCTTAGCCCCTTTAAAAAAATGTTAAAACTTGCCTTATTTCCAGCGCTGTGCAGGTCTGCAGACTCTGGCCTGCCGATGCTGGCCCTGCCCCCGATCCATATGATTTTTATCCAATCATTGGATTGGCTGAAATCGGCAAGGAAGCAGGATGGGGGCAAACCTTACATAGTTACATAGCTGAAAAGAGACTTGCGTCCATCAAGTTCAGCCTTACTCACATATGTTTTTGCTGTTGATCCAAAAGAAGGCAAAAAACCTAGTCTGAAGCGCTTCCAATTTTGCAACAAAATAGGAAACAATTCCTTCTTGACTCGAAAATAGCAGTCAGATGTCTCCTTGGATCAAGCAGCTATTACCCCACTAATTAGAAATGATATCCCTGTATTTTATGTTTTTGCAAGTATTTATCCAATTGCAGTTTAAACATCTGTAATGACTCTGACAAAACCACCTCTTCAGGCAGAGAATTCCATATCCTTATTGCTCTTACTGTAAAAAAACATTTTCTTTGCCTTAGATGAAATCTCATTTCTTCCAGCC